ATATTGTTTTTATTTATTTATTTATTTATTTATTTTATTATATCTTTTATTTTTTGGAACAACAACTCAACATTTTTTTTCTTTTTTTTTTTTTTGCCTAAAAATTCTTGGGATTATGATGGAAATGCTTCAAATCTAAAACACATCACATCAAAAGCTTGTATTGTTTTGTTTTTTTTCCCTTAAAAAAAAAAAATAAAAAAAATAAAATAATAATAATAATAATAATAATAATATAAATTCTAAAGAAAATATAGATATTGTCTTTTTTTAAATTTATCTATTCATTTTATTTTATTTTATTTTATTTTTTTGCTACCAGCAACTCAACATTTATTTATTTATTTATTTTTCCTAAAAATTCTTGGGATTATGACGGAAATAATTCAAATCAAAACACATCATATCAAAAGCTTGTCATGCTTTTTTTTTCCCCTAAAAAAAAAAAAAAAAAAAAATTCTCCTAAAAAAGATACATTCCAAAGAAAATATAGATATTGTATTGGCACCAACAACTCAGAAATGTTTTTTTTCTCTCTTGTATTTTTCCCCTTATATTATTATTATTATTATTATTATTATTATTATTATTATTATTATTATTATTTATTGTTGATAAAATCGAGCCTCTTTTTTTCTCTCTCTTGCCGCTCAGGGCTTCCGTAGCTCATCTACAGCAGCTGATTCACAAATCTTTGACAGATGCTCGAAACTAAAAGAGACAGAACTCAAAAGAAAGAACCAAGTGTTTATCGTCCTCTCCTCCTTTCGCACTCCTCTCCTCCCCCATCCCTCCGTCTCTGTCTCTGTCCTGAAGAAAAGCTCTGACCAACAGACAGAGAGAAGGACGAAGAGACAGAAAGAGAAGGAAGAGAGAAAAGAGGAGAGAGAAGAAGGGGGCGTGAGATACAGAGCGGAGGAGAGCGAAAGAGAAGGAGGCGGTGAGGAGGAGGAGACGGAGTGATGCGATACGGAGGGAGGAGAGGAGGGGGAGAGAGAGAGAGGAGGAGGAAGAGGAGGGGAAACTCAAACGCTCAGCTCTGGGGTCCCCGGCGTCTCCATGGAAACGGCAGCCAGGCGAGGCCGTGCAGACACATCCCTCTCTCTCTCTCTCCTCTTCACTCTTTCTCATGTCTCTTCTCTCTCTCCATCCCTAATTTATATCCCCCCCTCCCTCCCTCTCTCTCTCTCTCTTTTTACAGTGTCCCAAAAAATGTGACATTTCTCAGGCCAAACATTTCGACAGTTCTTGTTGAAATAACCTCAAATTTTCACAGAATGTAAAGAAACAAATTAAGATTTAATATTTAAAGTTTTATTTTTGTATTTGAAGTAGCAGTAGTATCAGTATTTGAAGTAATAAAAGTACCAGTAGTAGTAGTAGTAGTAGTAGTAGTAGTAACAACAGTAGTACTAATAGTAGTATTTGTAGTAGTAGTAGCAGTAGCAGCAGCAGCAGCAGCAGTAGTAATAGTAGTAACAATAGTAGTACTAATAGTAGTATTTGTAGTAGTAGTAGTAGTAGCAGTAGTAGTAACAACAGTAGTAGTAATAGTAATAGTAATAACAATAGTAGTAGTAATGATAGTAGCAGTAGTAGTAGTAGTAATAGTAGTATTTGTAGTAGTAGTAGTAGTATTTGTAGTAGTAGTAGTAGTAATAGTAGTAACAATAGTAGGAGTAACAGTAGTATATGTACCAGTAGCAGTAGTAGTAGTTTTGTTCTGGTTTAGTCCTGGTTTAGTCCTGGTTTAGTTCTGGTTTAGTCCTGGTTTAGTCCTGGTTTAGTTCTGGTTTAGTCCTGGTTTAGTCCTGGTTTAGTCTGGTTTAGTCCTGGTTTAGTTTCCTGGTTTAGTCCTAGTTTAGTTCTGTTTAGTTCTGGTTTAGTCCTGGTTTAGTTTAGTTCTGGTTTAGTTCTGGTTTAGTCCTGGTTTAGTCTGGTTTAGTTCTGGTTTAGTCCTGGTTTAGTCCTGGTTTAGTTCTGGTTTAGTTCTGGTTTAGTTCTGGTTTAGTCCTGGTTTAGTCCTGGTTTCTGTGAACTGTTTTCACACACAAAGAGCCAAAACACTGCACAAGGGCTCCCTCTGCTGGTGACATGAACAAATGACACTGAGCAGAATCACAGTCACTGCTCGCACTGAAGTGAACAAGAAAAATCAAAAAACAAACAAACAACAACAACAACAACAACAACAACGAAAAAGTGGAAGTAAATAAATAAAAGAATAAATGTAAAGAAAAGGAACGAAGTTAATGTCCCTAAGAAGACAAAGAAAGGAAAGAATAAATTGAATGAATTGTGAATAAATACATGTGTTTAAACATTAATGTGTACTACTTTCAGGGGATTTTTTTTTATTTTTAATTTTTTTTTTTAGTGTAGTAATTTCACATGTATTTATTTTTAACATTTATTTATACATACATTTTTATTAATGTGTATTTATTTATATTTACATGTATTTATTTGTTTACATATTTATTTATTTACATTTTTATTCTTTTCCATGTTTCTCGTGTTTCAAATTTACATGAGTGGGCGGGGCTTACTGTGATTGACAGAACAATAGACTCGCCTTCTTCCTGTTTATGTGCAACTACTGTTTGATGTAAAACTACTTAATCCACTACAACTACAAATACTACTACTACTACTACTAACTACTACTACAAACTACTACAAATACTACTACTACTACTACTAACTACTACTACAAACTACTACAAATACTACTACTACTACTACTACAAATACTACTACTACTACTAACTACTACTACAAACTACTACAAATACTAATACTACTACTACAAACTACTACAAATACTACTACTACTACTACAAACTACTACAAATACTACTACTACTACTACTACAAACTACTACTACTACTACTACTACTACTACTACTACTACTACAAACTACTACAAACTACTACTACTACTACTACTACTACAAACTACTACTACTACAAACTACTACAAATACTACTACTACTACTACTACAAACTACTACAAACTACTATAACTACTACAAACACTACTACTACTATTACAAACACTACTACTACTATACTACAAACTACTACTACACTACTACTACTACAAACTACTACTACTACTACTACTACTACTACTACTATAAACCACTACATCCACTACTTAATCTACTACTATTACTACTACTGCTACTACTTCTATACTCCACTACTACCATTACCACTACTACTTACTACTACTACTACTACTGCTTCTATACACCAACTGCAACTACTCTACTGCTACTTCAAACTTCAAATACTACTACTACTACTACTACTACTACTACTACTACTACTACTACTACTACTACTACTACAAACTACTACTACTACTACTACTACTACTACCACTACAAACCACTACTATAAACTACTACCACTACTTAATTCACTACTACCACAAATACTACTACTACTACAAACTACTACTACTACTACTACTACTACTACTACTCTACTGCTACTTCAGATACTGCTGCTGCTACTACTACTACAACAAATACTACTGCAAAGTATTGAAGTAGTAGTGCATCAAACAGAAGTAGTCACACATAAACAGGAAGAAGGCGAGTCCATCGTTCTGTCAATCACAGTAAGCCCCGCCCACTCGTGTGCATTTAAAGGACAAAGAAAAATGTAAATAAATAAATGTGTAAATAAATCCATGTTAAAAGTTCATAAATGATAAAAAAACGAAATAAATAAATGAACAAAGTAAAAATAAATGTAAAAACAATCATATTTTAGCTGTTGAATACCCAGAACGACTGCATTAATGTATAAACACATTTATTTATGTACATATATTTGTATTCACCATTTAATTCAACTTTCCAACATTTATTATTTTATTTATTTATTCACAATTATGTCATTTCTGGTCCTCCACACACAGAAACACTTCCTGACATTTACCAGAGGGGGGCAGTGTTTGAAAATCTGTTGAAATACACAACACAGATTCATGTATTTTAAACTCTTCAAATTGTGTTTTTTTCTCGTAAATACTTTTGTGTATTGATGACAAAGATTGAGGGAATTTTTTTGTAAAACACATCTCAACTTCCTGTCAATTTCAACTTTTTTTTTTCAAGTTTTCCTCACAAACGGCGACTAAAATTACATAAAATTATCCTAAAAATTACACACAACATAGAGGTAAATTTATAACTGTAACAAAAATACTCAACTAATTTACAAAAATATAAAATTAATGTTTAAACTCTTACAAATTGTGTTCTTTGCTTGAAATTTTTTTCCTGTATTTTAGTTAAAATTTTGTGAATTGGTGACAGTTTAACACAAAAAGACCTCCCCGACAAGTAGGACCTGAAGCAGTCCAAGGCAGAACCCCTGACACCGACACGGTTTTCAAGACGATGTAAAGAGTTGCATGGTCCACTGTGTCAAAAGCAGCAGTCAAGTCTAAAGTGTAGTACATTTAAGGTCCCACATTTAACTTCCTCCAGGCTTTTTGAAACAATTATAGACATTAAACAACATAATGAGTCTAATTATGAAGTGTTTTGTTGTCCAGGTATCAGGAAGTCCACAGGAAACATGCTAGTTATTTTTAGTTTACCGTGACGTCTCTAAACGTTGTGTTTAAAAAGTGTTTAAAAACTCATCACAGTGAATAATGAGGACCCTCTGAGTGTGTAAAGTAAGTGAGGAAAAACTTTGTATCACTGCAAACTGTTAAACATGAACTCGTTCTGTTTTTGCATGTTTTTAAGAAAAATGTGATATGTCCTTTTTTACAGAAACATTGGGGTGAAGTGTCTTGCCCGAGGACACAAAGGCAGTAAATTTGGTTTAGAGCTGCAAACTGCAAACTTAACCTTCAGACTGGCACATGCACCAAAGGCACAAACTGTCAGAACCAGTCGGACTGGATCATGAGTGTTTAGTGTGAAAGCTGCTCCCGCCTGCGTCTGTTTATGCAGCTCAGACACAAGGAGATTCACTCGTGTTAAGAACACATTTGGATTTCTCTCTTTCAACGTTTTAAATCAAGGTATGACTTTATTATTTTGCATTTCTGTTGTTTCTGTTTTCTTATAAAAGCAGTATTTTCCTTCATGTTTGCAGTAGATATTTAAAACTCACTGTTTATTGTCTGATTCATAATGAAGAAACTAAAAGCTCTTTTACATTGTTAAAACTTTACTGTGTTGATTTTATTATTTGAACAGTTAATTGTAACATCGTGTGTTGAACAGTGTTGGGGAAGTTACTGTGAAATATTAATGAATTACTCACGTTAAAAATGTAATATATTACAGCGCTTAGTTACGACCTACAGAAAGTATTGACTTTTTTGCAATATACAATCAATGAATCAAATATGTGATTTGAAGTTTTCAGTTTTAAGTTAAAGACATTTAAATGTCTCAAATGGCGTCACACTCACAGTTTCATGACGTTGTCAGACGCTGTTTCTGTGCCTCTGAGCAGGAGCGGTGTTGGGGGATGGTCACTGGACTCCCATAGTTCCCCCAAAGATTTATGCCCCAGATTCAACCTGGACAGAGTTTTCAGAATCAGACACAATAAAACAATAATTCCATAGATTTTATAAATGACTGTGAGGGCAAACGTCTTTAAAACTTGTTAAAACAACAAAACAATTGTGCACCTCCATTAAAAAAAACATAGCACTAAACAAAAAACATTTTGATCATAGTTTAGTATTTAAATTTATATTTTAGGTATTTAATTAATTGGCAGTAATTAAGTATTAGTAACTAGTAATTAGTTACACCCAACACTGGTGTTGTAGAACGTCACATTTGCACATTTTTCACATTCTGTAACCATGGACACAATTAAAACAAACAAATTAAATAAGAAATCTGAGCTAAAATATAAACAAAAAACAAATAAATAAATAAAAATAAACTGATGCAACAGCACGTGCACACATGCATTTTCATGTCGTACAGTTTAAGGCGTTGGCCTGTTCATGTGGTTCATGTGGCTCTCGTCCAGGGGTGTGGCTCTTAGTCCTGTGTTTTATTTCCTCAAACTGTGGAGTGTGAAAAATACAGAAGGCAAGTTTATTTATACACCACAGTTTGTACACAAAAAAGTCATTCAAAGTGTTTTACAGAATAAGACAGACATTCAAATCACAATACAAACAAATACAGAAATAATCACAATAAAATGTATTTAAAAAAATAATAACAGAAAGAGACATTAAATGAGAGAGAAGAGTGCAGAATAAAAACCTTTCAGTCAAATGCAGCGAAACAAAACAGTTCTGAGTCTGGATTTAAACAGAGTCTGTCTCACATGTTCAGACTGTTCCAGGTTTTAGCTGCAAAAATGTGAAAAGAACTTCAAACAATGAAGCACGTTTTGTTTTACAACAATTAATATCTAAATTCATGTATTATTATATATATATATATATATATATATATATATATATTATATATATTTTGTGGAGGTGGCACGAGGAGGAGAGAGACATTAACGTTTATTATTTTTTTATACATTTAACATTGGTTTGGGATGAATGTATTGTGTGTGTTTTTGTTCCTTTTGAAGCAAATGAACAAATGGACGGAGCCGCTCCCTGTAAATCCACTCACTGCCCCAAAGCTCAGAGGTAAGAGACGATCTGTAACCCTCCACCACTGTTCTCCATGTCAGAGCTCAGACTAAAGCCACTGCTCCATCTGTGTCCACAGACCTGCTCCTGTGTGTCCAACTCCACAGACCTGCTCCTGTGTGTCTCTGAAGAGTGACAATGACTCAGTGGAACGAGGCATAAATTTTAACCCAGAACCTCATCCACAGTACGTGAAGCTTCTTTAAATAAATCAGGTCAACACTGAGGTTTGCCTGAGATCATCTGTCAACAGTAAAGTACAAATGGTATTGTGAAAATATATGATGAGTTTAATGAGAAATGGGAGGTTAGAGGCTCTGTAGTTGTTGGGAGAGTTATTTTTAAAGAATTCATACTTTATATCTGCTCAAAAAACTTAAAGAACACTTTGAAAACACATCAGATCTAAATGTGAAAAAAAAAAGTTGGATATCTGTACAAATATGGACAGGGAAATGTCTTAGGAACAAAATGATACCACCTCTTTTAATGGAAATGAACAACCGAACAACAGCCGATGCTTTATAATGACGTGACCGTTTCAATTGACAGTGTGACCTCAAATTACCTCGTATCGTCACCAAACTTTTTTTGGGGGACATTGGGCACGGGGGCTTGACCCACGTATCAAATTTGGAGACAATCGGTCCATAAATTGCAGAATTATCGCAGGTGGACAGACACAGACACACAGGGTGAAAACAAAACCTGGTCAACCCTTCGGGGACCAGGTCATAATTTGGGTATTCTTCTTTTTCATTCCATTTCTGATTATACAATTTAACACATCTCAAGATGTGTATTTAATGTAGTGTTTCCTTATTGGGCAGTGCTTGTCATATAATTTCCATAGGTTGTTTAGACTAATAAAAGACATGTAAAACACATGACACTGATGCACATATTTTGCACAAACACAGTCCATGTCAGAGCTCAGATTAAAGCCACTGCTCCATCTGTGTCCACAGACCTGCTCCTGGGACCAGCGGGGTTTCACTGAAGAGTGACGTTCCACTAGAAGGATTGACGGATGAACCTGTTCCACAGTATGTCACACTAACAACCTCTTAGACTGATACTTCTATACTGATTTTAGGTTTTTATGAGTTAAATGTTAATAATTTGGCAGAAATATAGACTGTCTAGGCTCTGGGGAGGTTCAAACATGGTTTTAGATGAGTAAATAACACTTGACCAAGGCAAATAAAGGCAGGGAAGGTACTTTTCAGTTTTTGCTGAAATGTATGATATAAAAAATATTCCACAAATACAAATCTGGAACCACAACAGACTAGAGATTTTTCTGTGAGTGACTGTTCTAAGGAGCATCCAGTGACAAAAGAATAATTTCTATGAGTGATGTTTACAAGAAATATTGTTGACTGGATGTTTTTATGTTTTATCTTTTACAGAGAGAAGCAGCAGGGTCTTAAATGTCATTCAGGGAATTGTTCTGACGTTTGTGGGCGTAAACTGAAGTCTGACCTGCAGCAGAAGTTTGAGTGTGTGTTTGAGGGCATCACTCATGCAGGAAACCCCACACTTCTGAATGAGATCTACACAGAGCTCTACATCACAGAGGGAGAGTTTTCAGAGGTCAACCAGGAACATGAGGTCAGACACATGGAAACAGCCTCCATAACACCAGGCCCAGCACAGAAAACCATCACATGTGAAGACATGTTTAAAGGCCCAGCTCACACACATGGAGCCATCAGAACAGTGCTGACAAAGGGAGTGGCTGGCATCGGGAAAACAGTGCTCACTCAGAAGTTCAGTCTGGACTGGGCTGAAGGCAAAGCCAACCAGGACATTGACCTGGTGTTCCCGTTCACTTTCAGAGCACTCAATGGGCTGAAGGAGAGAAGCTTCAGCTTGGTGACACTTATTCGTCACTTCTTTAGTCAAACACAAGCAGAAACCTGCAGCTATGAAGACCTCCAGGTGCTCTTCATCTTTGACGGTCTGGACGAGTGCAGACTTCCTCTGGACTTCACCGAAACCAAGGCCCTGACCGACCCCACAGAGTCCGCCTCAGTGCACGTGCTGCTGGTGAACCTCATCAGGGGGAGCCTGCTTCCCTCCGCTCGCCTCTGGATAACCACACGACCCGCGGCGGCCAATCAGATCCCTGCTGAGTGCGTCTCCATGGTGACAGAGGTCAGAGGGTTCACCGACCCACAGAAGGAGCAGTACTTCAGGAAGAGGTTCAGAGACGAGGCCGACACAATCATCTCCCACATCAAGACGTCCAGAAGCCTCCACATCATGTGCTACATGCCGATCTTCTGCTGGATCTCTGCCACAGTCCTGGAGCATCTGTTGAAAAGCAGAGGAGAGCTGCCCAAGACCCTGACTCAGATGTACATCCACTTCCTGTTGGTTCAGGCCAAAGTCAAGAACATCAAGTATGAAGAAGGATCTGAGACAGACCCACACTGGAGTCCAGACACCAGGAAGATGGTGGAGTCTCTGGGAAAACTGGCCTTTGAGCAGCTGCAGAAAGGAAACCTGATCTTCTACGAGAGTGACCTGAGTGAGTGTGGGCTGGACGCTGCAGCGGCCTCAGTGTACTCTGGAGTGTTCACACAGATCTTTAGAGAGGAGCCAGGACTGTACCAGGACAAGGTCTACTGCTTCATCCATCTGAGTGTGCAGGAGTTTCTGGCTGCTCTTCATGTCCATCAGACCTTCATCAACACTGGGATCAACCTGCTGTCAGAGAAAACACGGAAGTTTACAAAGTCCAGTTTTGAAAGAAAACTAAATCGTCTTTACCAAACAGCTGTGGACCAGGCCTTACAGAGTCCAAATGGACACCTGGACCTGCTGCTTCGCTTTCTCCTGGGTCTTTCACTGTCGACCAATCAGCACCTTCTGCAAGGTCTGCTGACAGAGACAGGAAGTAGCTCTCAGACCAATCAGAAAACAGCTGAGTACATCAAGAAGAAGCTGAGTGAGGATGTGTCTGCAGAGAGGAGCATCAACCTGCTCCACTGTCTGAATGAACTGAATGAGTGTTAAATTATGTGGTAAGAAAGAAACACAATCTAAATACACTTTTTTTTTTTTTTAAATTGGTGATTTAAATATAACTTCAGACTGGTGTCATATTTTTCAGACTGGAGTGTGTTGGTGCTGGGAGGTTGGCACCAGGGCTCAGAAAGTGTAAGTGTTGAGTTCCTTCTATTTGAAACAGACACAAGATTTATTTTAAAAGATGCAAAAAAAACAAAAAAAAACAAAACCCAAGGCACTCACTGGTTAAAATAAAATGTCTTTATTAATTTACAGCATGTCTTAATGGACAGTGTTGTCAGTGTTGTCCATTAAGACATGCTGTAAATGAATAAAGGTATTTTATTTTAACCAGTGAGTGTCTTGGGTTTTTTGCATCTTTTTCCTGACTTCCCTTCCCAAAGAGCACCAATGAGTTTTTATCTACTGTATATTATCCTCTGGAGGTCCAGGAAGCGCTTCTTTTTGAAACCTTTATTATAAGGCTTATTTTAAATTAATACAAGGCACAATGTATGATGGGAAATGGAGTCCTCACATAAAAATATATATTGTTGTGTGAGAGACTGCAGAGTGTGTGGTCAACGGTCAGTCCTCCTCATCACTAGAACCACAGCAGATATCACACAAACACTGACAAAAGGACAGCAGCTGTGGACAACTCCTGAAACAAAGTCTACGTTCAGACTGCAGGGCTTAACCCCTCAATTTTTTGTGAAATCCGATGTTTTTTGCGAGGTCGTTCACATTTCCAATTAAATGCGACTTGTATGTGACTCCAGTGTGAACGTTAAACGGCCCCGAAAGTGTCCCGCATGTGCACTGGAGTTTACAGAGCTCTGTTTTTACGGAAGTTGTCCAAACATGGACGCAGCATTGAGCACCTGGAGATTTTAAAGTTCCTCTCGTACCGGAGCCAGAACATGAACAACTTAGGCTGCGTTCAGACTGCAGCCTGAAGTGACCCAAATCCGATTTTTTGGCTTCTATGTGACCTGTATCCGATCTTTTAATGTCAGTCTGAACGGCACAGATCCAAATTTTTCAAATGTGACCCAGGACACTTGGATATGTGCTCCTGAAACCGATACATATCTGATCTTTTGACATGCGACTTCAGTCTGAACGGCCAAAGCGCATCCATCCGACCTATACACGTCATTAACAAGCGACAAACGTCACTATTCTGCACTGAAGCAGGCGGAAACCGGAACTGTAAAATCTCCAGGTGCTTGATGCTGCGTCCATGTTTGGACAACTTCCGTAAAGACAGATCACGCTCGCTGCGGGGGGTTGACGTCGTCGTGTCTCCAGTGTCACATGCGGGACACTTTCGGGCCGTTTACCGTCACAGACAAGTCGCATTTAATTGGAAATGTGAACGACCTCGCAAAAACATTGGATTTCACAAAAAAATCGGAATTGAGCATTAAGCCCTGCAGTCTGAACGTAGCCTTACTTGTTTTAAGGAGGAGATTGAGAAGGAGAAGGACGAGGTTTTTGGTCGTGTGGTTGTTTTGTGGATGTGGAGACGGAGCCAAGAGTGGTGAGTGGAGATGTGCTTCACTTCAGTCACACATGGAGTTCATTAACAATTTTCTCCTACTTCAGTGCAGAATAGTGACGTTTGTGTCTTGTTGATGACGTGTAGGTGTGGAATGAATGCACTTTGGCCGTTCAGACTGAAGTCACATGTCAAAAGATCAGATATGTATCAGTTTCAGGAGCACATATCCAAGTGTCCTGGGTCACATTTGAAAAAATCAGATCTGTGTCGTTCAGACTGTCATTAAAAGATCAGATACAGGAACATAGGGGCCAAAAAATCTGATTTGCGTCACTTCAGGCTGCAGTCTGAACGTAGCCACAGAGCCACATGTCTCAGCCCCTGAGTGAACCAAGAACCATCAGAGCCTCTGCTGCTGGAGCAAAGGAGGAGCTGAGGAGCCACAAAGACACAGACACAACTGTTGGACTCAGGACTGTCTACACACAAGCACAAGTGACTGTGGATTCATATAGAGACATTTTAAAAGAGAAAGTTTGTGTCATGGAGCACAGAGGAGTGTAGGAATGTGTGGAGTGACGTCAGAGACTGAAGCTGCACTTTGTCACTGCAGCAACAATCTCAAATTTCACACTGAAAATGAAATGAAATAGATGTGTGTGACGCTACGAAACAAAAGGAAATTACAGTTGATGATGCAAAATAAATATTAGCCAAAAACAAGACTGCACTGACTGAATATAAAATAATAATACAAATACTTTAATCATAAATTACTGAAACCCTTTAAATCATCTTTCATTAAACTATAATTAAATTTGTGTCTGCACAGAGGACTAACTGTTGTTGTGTTGTTTCTTCTCTCCATCAGATTTCTGTGATCTCACTCTGGATCCAAACACAGCGAACAGAAAACTCAAAACTGTCTGACAACAACAAGAAGGTGACACGTGTGAAAGAGCAGCGGCCGTATCCAGATCATCAGGACAGATTTGAGACTGGTCGCTGTTACTGGGAGGTCGACTGGAGTGGAGGAGTTTCTATTTTCGGTGTCTTACAGAAGAGTCAAAAGGAAAGGAGACAGTGTCAGTTTGTTTGGACACAGTGGTCAGTCCTGGAGCCTGAACACTTCTAAAGACAGTTCCTCTGTTTGGCATAATAACAAACGAGCCTAAGTCTCTCGGCTCTGGTCCTCTTCTTGTGGGAGAGTAGCAGTGTTTGTGGACTGTCCTGCTGGTTCTCTGTCCTTCTACAAAGTCCCCTGTATGTGTGGAAAAGCACTTTATAAAGTTTGATTGATTGATTGATCAGTTAGTACATGTGGTCTTTTATCAACATTTCTTCAGTTTAGAGAAGTCGACTGGAGAAACACAAGAAAATAAACCGTGAGCTCTTATAAAATGTTTTAAAATATGAGTTTTATTGTGTTTTCAGCCACAAATTATAAGACAAAAGTTAAAACAAAAACTCTGTGTTGTTTATATTTTATACGTTTTGTGATTGTGATACTTTTTATAGTTTACCTAAAGCAGGGAAAAATTTGGTTCAGTTTGTATCGTCAAATAGAAAATAAGATGTTATGATATTTTAAACATGTCTGTGCAGATCCAGAGTTAAGGGTGAATAAACTTCAGATCTGTAGAACTTCAGCAGCTGCTTCACACAATGGCTCCACCAACAGGATACCATTTTTTGGACTATAAGTCACTTTTTTTTTCATGGTTTGTGTGTTTCCTGTGACTTATATATTAAAATTTTTGAGTGAAGTGTGGAGAGGTTCTAGTCTTGTGTGTGAGTATCTGCTGCTCCTGTTCCTCCTGTACCACTGTCACTTGGCTCTACTGCGCATGTCTCCTGCAGAAAGAGCCTCTGTCCTGTCTGTATCATGTCAGTCGATCGCATCGTTACTTCTGCACCACTCAACAATTAACATTTACAAACTTATAAAGATAAAGACTGAGAAGACTGAACACAAATGACCCCAAAAACAAAATCACATTCTGCAGATTACAAACTGCAAGTCGTGAAAATCTGCAGCTGAAAACAATAATCGAGCAGCAGAAAAAAAGTTTGGAGTGAGAGAGAAACTTGTGACACCAGGAGGATGAACCATGAAACTGTCCTGAAGTCACTGGATGGATGGACAAAGCCTGGACTTCAGTTACACCGAAACCATCCTGTCGAGATTCAGAAAAAACAGAATAATTCTAACTGGAACTGATGCTGAGTCTGACGACAGCGACACAGAAGAGGAACGGCGCTTCTTGTTTACCTCCGGGAGTCGTGGAGTTGCTCAGAAAGACAGCGAGGATGAAGAATTTAATGGATTGATTTGGAGTGAGATGGAGAGTTTGGTAAACTTGTTCTGTTGTTTATGTTATAGTTTATCTGAAAACTGTTCATATGTGACGTTAACAGTCTGTTGTTCTCTCTTCTATTGTTTTTACTACAACTTCACTTTTAAGAGGAAATGTCGGTTCCTGGTCTCTGATTTTACAAAATAAATTTTCCCCAAAAAGTGTGACTTATATATGTTTTTTTACTTCTTCATTATGCTTTTTTTGCATTGTACATAAGAAGTCAAAGGAAGGAAAGAATAAATGGAATGTATTAAATTAAAGGGTGAATAAAAATACATGTGTTTAAACATTGATGTGTACATTCTGGACATTAAAAAACAAAAAAAACGCTTGTTTTTCACATTTCTGCATTAAGTATAGTTATTTATTTATTTGCACTTGCATTTATTTTTAACAATTATTTATTTATACTTACATTTTTACTCATATTTTTTACATTTACTTATTCTTTTATTTATTTACACATTTATTTCCACTTTTCTTTGTCCTTTGAATGCACATGAGTGGGCGGGGCTGACTGTGATTGACAGAACGATGGACTCGCCTTCTTCTTGTTTATGTGCAGCTGGTACTACTACTACTACTACTACTACATGTACATTTAAAGTGGAAAAGAATAAAAGTGGAAATAAATAAATGTGTAAATAAATACATTATAAAAGTTCATAATTGATAAAAAGAAAAAGGAAATAAATAAATAAATGTAAAAACCATTATATTTTAGCAGTTTATACCTGTTATCGGGAGAAAGTGAATTGACTCCATAGTCAGATGAAGAGTTACGTGAAAGAAGTTAATATTATTAGGATGTTCCTTGTTACATCTTTGTGAGCAGCCCAGGGAGGCCCAGGCAAAAGAAACCATCAGTATTTATAGTTTTATGATAATGAGTAGAATGGGCCTATGTACATAAAGCGCTTTGAGTGCCTTGAAGATGGAAAAGCGCTGTAGAAAAATTTGACCATTTACCATTTACCACCATATGAAACCTTAATACAGAGAATATACATATTTGGCAAAAGTACATACAGTATAGGAAACTCGTGGCTGCTGTATGTGCTCCAGTGTAAAGGAGGCATGGAGATGTCAGTTGTATATCACTTGATGAAAACACTGGAAACTCCAGTATATGGAAAACATAGTTGTAAATTTAACACACATCGGGAAAGTAGCAGAGAAAGAATTCATGCTTATGTTATATATATATATATTATGCTATGACGACGGCATTAATGTATAAACACATTTATTTTTGTACATATATTTGTATTCACCATTTAATTAAACTTTCCAACATTTATTATTTTATTTATTTATTCCCAGTTATGTCATTTCTGGTCCTCCACACACAGAAACACTTCCTGACATTTACCAGAGGGGGGCAGTGTTTGAAAATCTGCGAGAGAGACACTCTTGAAATACACACAACACACATTAATATATTTTAAACTTTTCAAATTGTGTTTTTTCTCATAAAGATTTTTGTGTATTGGAGACACAGACAGAGGGAATTCTTTGTAGAACACATCTCCACTTCCTGTCAATTTCAACTTTTTGTTTGCAGATTTACTCAACACATGTTTAAACTCTTACAAACTGTGTTCTTTGCTTGAAAATTTTTCCTGCATTTTAATTAGAATTTTGTGTATTAGTGACAAAGATAGAAGGAACCAATCGTAGAGCACGGGGCAGCCCTTTTCGACAGAACACCGGGGCTTTTTGGGGAACGATGACTTGAAACAGAAGTGCTGAAGATGATGGTGAAGACAGCAGTCAGCTTCTCCACACAGTTTCTCAGGGTCGAGGGAGAGACACAATCGGGGCAGCAGTGAGGGAGGATGGAAAGTCCGAGGTGGCTGGAGTGTCCCCTGGGGTGAGGAGGGTGGGGTTTGGTGAGTTCTTGACTTCAAAGCATTAGTAGAAGTTATTAAGTTGTGCAGCAGGGTGGGGGGCTTTTGATTTGTAATTGGTGATCTGCTGGAGCCCTCCTCTCCAGACAGTGGCAGAGTCGTTATCAGAGAAATGCTGCTCAATTCTCATGTTGTATTGGGATTGATCCTTTGACATCTCCTTGCTAAATCCAAACTTAGCTCTTTTGTACTGTCTCTGTCCTCATCTCTAAATGCTGCCTCCTTCTCCTCCCTGATCGGTCTGAGTTTGGGTGTGTAGTGTGTGTAGAGATGCTATCTATCTGTAGCAGTCCTGAGCAGATCTCAGTCTGTAATGTCCAAACATATGCACAACTCTTCCACAGCCTTGCTGGTCCTCTTCTACAAACAGACTGGAGTGGACAGAGCTCTCAGTCTCCAAACACCACATTCATACGAGGGCTGTAGTCACCAAAAGAAATGATTGGTTGATTAAAAACATGTCCTGCTGATCAAGCAAAAGCTTTTAAAAAATGTTCAGTATTTATGATGTGGCCATGTATCTGCACTCAAAATACTACCACCAGTGGTGGGCGTCAGGGTCTGCAAGTTCTTCTCTGCTGGCCTAAAAAAATCTCTGAATCACAGACTATTGTGAATTATATTATTATTAAATAATTCCAAATGGTCTGTCCTCTTCCTTTCAGAGTTTTTCCGATATTTGTGCTGCTTCCAGTCATGTAGTTTCATATTAAAGCATTTGACCAATCACATTTCAGCCGTCATCTGTTGCTAGGCAGAGTCAAAGTCAAAGAAGTCTGATGCCTTCACAGTCTGTTCTGCAGGAACTCGAACACAAAATAAATGTCCATGAAACTGTTGCTTCAACCAATCGGATTTTGAGTTGGTGTCACCAGGACCTTTAGCGGTGAATGACAACATCATCAGATTCAGACCCGTGATTGGACAGAGAGAACCAGACAAAACAGCAAACTCCATCTTTAGCAGTTATGCCAATCCAAATTATTATTACTATGTATTATAGTTATTAATTACCAGTGTAGTGGGGATTTTTTAAGTGAGGGTACATGATTTGTGACTGAACCAGGACTCAACCAGGATTAAACCAGGACTACACCAGGACTAAATCAGGACTAAAACAGGACAATCTTTTACTTGAGAGATAGAGAACCCCGAGCCCACAGAACAGTGTTCGCAAAGCGCGATTGGGCGACAGCTGCACATAGCCCCATGTGGCGTGGAGCTTTGCGCTGGTCCTTTCGCCTGTGGCCAGCTGGTGGTGTACGCGGGCACACCTCCAGGCTCGTCCCAACACTCATTAGTCCTGTTTTAGTCCTGGCTCAGTCCTGTTTAGTCCTGTTTTAGTCCTGGTTTAGTCCTCTAGCACTACTGAAGGCCTAGATTGTAGATATTGTACACATTTTATTATATTTATTTATTTTAGGCATATTTTTTTAGGATTTCCAGTGTCTCCTCTGTAGGAGCCTCTGCATCGGGAGTGGAGGTCAGCTGTGGCTGCTGGGTCTGTCCTGTGGGCTCCTGGTGGAGGGATGGTGCTTGGGCCTCAGGTGCCCGGGCTTCATCTCTCCCCTGGACCCTGTGGTGGTTCCTGGTGGTGGTGGACGTCTCTCTGCTCCCGGTGCAGACGGCTCCT